GAAAAAAAATGAAAATAGACTGATGAAAGAGGAAGAAAATTAAAACAGACTAATGTTACAGAACCTAGAGAGGAATATGCAAATGGTGATGTTCACCCCAAGTCAGAACAGACGCTGTGGGACGATGTCTTCACCAGGTACTCACCAGTGCGTCTTCCAGCCCCCTCCACATCTTCCTCCTTTGGCAATTCCCCAGCACTTCCTCATGTTAGTAGCTCACTCTACTTGGTCAAGGCATCCATTGCCTCTAGGGATAGCAGGGTTGTGTTAATAAAAAGAAGTGGTCAGCACTCATATTTTGAATTACAAAGGGGACCCTTGAACTTAGTAGATTTTTTTTTTTTTTGAGACAGAGTCTCACTTTGTTGCCCAGGCTAGAGTGAGTGCCATGGCATCAGCCTAGCTCACAGCAACCTCAAACTCCTGGGCTCAAGCAATCCTACTGCCTCAGCCTCCCGAGTAGCTGGGACTACAGGCATGTGCCACCATGCCCAGCTAATTTTTTCTCTATATTAGTTAGCCAATTAATTTCTTTCTGTTTATAGTAGAGACGGGGTCTCACTCTTGCTCAGGCTGGTTTTGAACTCCTGACCTCGAGCAATCCGCCTGCCTAAGCCTCCCATAGTGCTAGGATTACAGGCGTGAGCCACCGCAGCCCAGCATGTAGACTTTCTTTTTGAGACAAAGTCTCACTCTGTTGCCCCAGCTAGAGTGCAATTGTATCATCACAGCTCATTGCAACCTCAAACTCCTGGGCTCAGGTGATCCTCCTTCTCAGCCTCCTCCTGCTCAGGCTCCTGAGTAGCTGGGACTACAGGTGGGTGCCACCACGCTTGGCTAATTTTTCTATATTTTTGTAGAGATGGGGTCTCACTCTTGCTCAGGCTGGTCTCAAACTCCTGACCTGAAGCAATCTTCCCACCTTGGCTTCGCAGAGTGCTAGGATTACAGGTGTAAGCCACTGTACCAATCCAAACTTAGTAGGTTTTTGTGGCTTAAAAACACTGAGCTCTAGAAGAATTGAGATCTAAAATTTCTTCCCAAAAAAGAGCCAGAGTAACACCGATTTGCCATCCTTTGAGGAGAAGAGTTCAAGAGTAGAAGGGGAAAGCTTCATTCCTGGAAGGTCCTTTTGAAAAGCCTTTTCCCTGACCTCTCCAAGAACTGGTCCTCAGGTGGTGTTGGATAACAGGGCCGCCATATAAACTTTGGAAGATTCTATAGAGGGAACGTTTGTCTGCTTCATACCTACAGCTCTGAAAGTGAAGCCCAAATGACCTCAAAAAAGTGCCTTGGCCACATGAGATGAAGGTAGTAGAACAGAGAGCCTGATGGCGACTCTGGGTTGCTCACAGCCCCACACAGGTGAGGGGAAATGACCAAACTTTCCTTTTGCTTCAGAGAACAAACACAAAGGAAACCACCGGAGGCCCAAAAGTCTTAAAAATATCAATGCGGGCTGTGCAAACAGGAAACCAGATGCAGACCTGGTGTACGTGAGCATGAGCAATTAGCAGCCACCTCAGTGAATGCCAGAGCAGAATTCTTTGCTTATCCAATGTCACAATGTCCTATGTGACCCCACCAGCCCCTGCCCCTGCCCCCAAAGGAGATGCCATCCTGAGGGAGGAGAAGAAAGGAGAGTACTCTGAACTGGACTACATTTAAACCTAAATGACTGAGAAATTATTGTATTCACCTGAGTTTCCCCCAAGTAACAAGATTAAAGCTTTCTGCCATCAAGTGAGAACAGGCACTAGAGGCAGAAATTAAATTTAGTTATGTGAAAGTAAAGTGAGGTACAATCTTTTGCACACATGAATTTGTGTCCGTGAAACTTGTATCTGCCACATAGATAAGCCTAACAACTATTTTGATCTTTGAATAATCACAATTTTCTGTTTCTGATACAGACCAAAAAAGGCACAAAAATGCTAAAAATTAAGGATAAAATTGTGCTTAAGCAATATGCAACAGCGCTGCGGGGTTATATATGAGATTATGGGTGTCAGAGAAAAACAAATTTTATGTTCTCTTGTATATAATTAAGTGCTAGCTACATCCATTCAATTTTCTGCTTTTCTAATGATGGCCATAAAGGGTACAAAATATGATCTGTTCAGTTTAAGTATGTCAAATATCATTCAATTTTCATTCTAAGAATGTGTAAGTAGATTCTTCCAGAAACAAGTCAATGAAATGCTTTTGAAATTATTTGGGCAAAAGATCAATTTTTATCCCAAAATATCATATCAGGGAAGAAAGTGCTTTTAAAAACTCATTACCTTATTCTTTCTGAGGGATGTCAGTGAAATGTCATGACTTAGTCTAATAAAAAAAAAGCTTTATAAAGAAAATCTAACTCCATTTACAACTATGAATTAATGTCATAGAATACTTACTAAGAAAAAAAGAGCACTTTGCTACTTCAGTGCCAAGCATTGCTGGATCTAATCAATGTCAGATACATGCAAGCCTGGTTTTGTCAGGCACCCCGTGCCAGAGTTTCAAGGGGCTGAGCATAACAAAAGCTAGATAAGGAATACAGTCTTTGACTCTGACTGTTATCCAGAAGAATTTCTAGAATTCATCAATGTTGTACCACTAAGTGTCCCAGGAACCTTAACTCTCTTCTGTGTTAGTGTGAGATGTTCAGGAAGTCTCTGTCCCCCATTGTTTGCTCAATAGTTCTAGTACTAGGGGACCATCATCAAATGGATCTCTTCTTTGTTTCTGATTAATCTCTTCATGTGCCTATTACAGAAAACCTGTGATGGGTAAAAGGATTAGTTCCACTTCTAGGTGCTTTGCATAGTAGACAAAGTGTATTAACTCTAAAATGCAAAAGGCATTTCCACTATAGAAATTCCAAAGCATGTATATTCTGCTAATACACATTCGTGATTTATCAAAACCTATAAAGCTTATGCCTATTGAAGGGGCTCTTGAAATAAGACCACCATGCAACCAGTCTCTATTTATCCAATGGAAGGAATAGGAAGAGAATTTATACCCTCTGGAACTCACAAAGCAGCAAACTCTCTTATTTTCTAATCTCAGTAGTATTCCATGGTATACATATACCATTGTTATCTTAATTCTTAGTGATTCAAAATCCACATAGATGATTCTCCCAATACTGTAGCCTCTAAGTTCCTTTACCTCTTCTCCTCCATGATCTTGTTCATCGCCAAACATTCCTAGGATATATTTTAGACCTTTGGTAATAACATAACAAAAATTACAAGCCTTTCATAATCTAAATTTCTAGCATCCATCTTCCAACCACTACCTATTTTTCTTAGAATTCTATCTTAATAGATAAGATAGCTTACTGTATCAAAACCTACTATCCATTGATTCTACCACCTTTTCACTTTCCCTCACCTCATCTAAGGTCCTCTCATTCTCTTTGTCCAACTTACCTTCCATTTTCAATTATTATGATTGGTTCTCTTGTATTCATGCTCACTTCTTCATACTTCAGCACTTAGTGTACATGCTGTTAAAGCCAACTCTCTATTGACAACATGCTCACACTCCACATCTAATCCATCATTGAACATATCCTCAGAAGATATCCTGAATTCAACTGATTTTTATTACCTTCACCATCAACACCATGATCTAAGACACCATCATTTCTCTCTAGATTACTGTAACAGCCTCCTAAATGGTTTCTCTGCCCTTGCTCCCTAGACTCTGTGCTCTGAATAGTAGCCATAGTAAATCTGTTAACATGCAAGTCAGATCATGTCACTCCTGCTCAAAACACTCCAATCACTTCCATCTCACCCAGAGTCAAAGCCAAAGTCCTCACAGTGACCTACTAAAGGCCTACCAACAAAATATTTGTACTAAGTAAATATCTGTTGAATGAATGAATATTTATCAACAAAGGACCATTCAAAAACTCATCCATAGTATCTAAGGATGCCCTGTCTATCCTCTCCTCCCCTCAAGGTTAAGAACTTTAGACTCAAAGTCAATCTGACAGGCTTAAAGTGGACATCTGAAATATCCTCCATACCATTAATGGAATATCTTTCTTAATTTGACTTGAACTCTGTGAGGTCAAGAACCAAGTGTTGGTTATTTTTATAACCCTATCACTTAACATGGTGCCTGGCTCAGGGTAGACACTCATATATTTGTTGTGTATACTGTAAAATATTAAAAGGGGGAGGACCTACATAGAATTAGCAAACCTGCTCAGAGTGGTTTGAGAAATTCATTAACCAATATTAAATAAATAAATCCCTGTTGTTACTCATATTAAAAGATACTGCAAAAATTATCACCTGAGAAAGAGCTTCATCAGAAAATAGCACTTGCAACTTGACCTGCCTACTCCTATGAATTTCCAGTTGGGATCCAGTTTTGAAATTCTACTTTGGTTTCCCTGTGTTGGATCTTTTAATCTATATGGAACTTCTTTTCCAGTTGGCAGCACAACACAGACTTCCTGTACTTCAGTGTCAGTTGCTTTAGAGGATGGACTGCCTACTTCTTTGGAATGGCCCATACAACTCTCCAAAATGAATGTCACCTCTGTCATAAAGTCTGTATTTTAAGTCAAACCATCCTAAATGAATTTCTCTCAAGAGTGATGGAGTATCATCCATATAGTCACAGAGACAGACAGAAACTTCATTTTATTTATATAAACTAAAAACATATATGCTTCTATATTTATAGATACTTTCTAGAAAGAAAAATAAGGCACTATTAATACTGTCCCTTTCACAATGAGCTAAACTAATGGCACAGAGGGTGAAAAAGTAAGATTTTCCTTTTCACTTCTGTGGCTTTTGAAGTTTTAAATCCTTGAGTCTATGTCCTTGATTTGTATGTTTTACATTCAACAAACATTTATCAAGCATCTAATGTGGGCAAGGTCTAGTCTACTTGGCTAGACCAAAGGATAACTATCATTCAGCAGAAAAGATAATTTAATTTCATGTGTTTCAATAAAAAAAAAAAAGTTGCTTCATATGCAGGGACGCTGGAATGTACAAGGGGGAGGAAGAGATCCCAGGAAGAATTTCAGCTGATGGAGACAAAGAACAAGATCCTAAATTCAGTTTAACAAATGTTCCTGATGCCAACAGATGTTAGTAAGCCTTTCTCCAGTGCCATTCAATGTGAGACTTTAGCTGGAATGTCTTCATCCAACCCTCTTAGTGACCTGGAAGGTCAGGCTAGCATCAAGCCTGTGCTAGATCACATGCCGGCTTCTTCTGACCAGGCCAAAGTGGAGCAGGGGACACCTGCCGCTCTAAGGAAGCAGCAGCACTCATAGTTCTTCTCCAACCAAGCCCTGCTATTGTGCTGCCTTTGGCTCTAGTGGGAGTTGTTACCTCCTGCAGATTCCCAGCACACGGGCCATACATATGTCAGCTGGATTTGTGCTTTTCTTTGCCCATAGAATAACATAGGCAGGGAGAAAAAAAGTCAAACTCTCATTTAGTGGTGACTTTTCCCTTTAAATCCTCCCAGCAAGTGTGCAGATGAGCTCAAAATCATCTTCTCCAGCTAGGGTTAGTGGTCCCTTCTGCTCGCCAGCCTGCATGTCCTTGTAACCTGAGCTCCTCTCCTCCTGTTAAAAGCCTCTTCCTGGAATTCTCTTCATTTTGGGGAGAAAGTTCTATTATTTGTACATTTTGAAAATAGCTTGAATTAAGAAAAAAACAGTATTGATCTTTGTAGAAATTCTGCAGAGGTAATTTATTTCTATGTGCCAACAGAGAATGAGGCATGCCCAGTGGCCTCATTCAAGCCACTCCACAAGAATAATAACAATAACAGCTAACATTTAATGAGCCCTGATCCAAGTGCTTTACAGGCATTAACTCATTGAGCACTCACAACGACTCTCTAAGGTAGTACTAATTTTATCCCCATTGTTCACATGAGGAAATGAAGGCACTGAGCTTGAGTAACTTACCAAAGAGCTTAGGTAACTTGCTACAAAGGGCAGAACCAGGATTGAAACCCGAACAGTCAGACTCTAGAGCCTTCCCTCTTAACTACTAAGCCACACTGCCTCTTTTTGTCCCCAAATTAAAAACGGATTTTTCTGTGAATAAAAATAAAAATGAAGAAGTGGACTTTAGTTCATTGTAAGTTTTTCAAAGTAAAATTTTGTGTAGTTTTTATTCCACATTGGTCACAAGGTACAAATATAATGATGTACATAAAATTTTTAATAGAAAGAGGTCCCAGTATCCCACATGGGGGTGCAAGACAGCTCTCTCCGTGAACCTGCTTTGCAAAATTGGCACAGTGAGCAGGGTCTGGTCTGACAGAATCATGGCTTCTTGGCAAAAGCAAGAAAGGACAATGCCCCCCAGGACCCGGCCAAGGGCACAGACATCAGCCTGGAGGTACAAGAACTGTACACGCAGCTGGATGATTTGTGCATAAGGAAAGGTGATAAGTGGGACATAGATCATCCCCCACGAATGTGAATGAGATGCCTACATGGGTTGAGGCAGAGAGAAGGAAAAGTGGAGACAGAGGAGCCAGGCGCAGGATTCCCCAGTTGTTGGGCACTTATGTGATCATGCTTTCCAGGGCCAGAGAGCTCAGGAAATGGGTACTCAGATGGTCCCTGAGGCACCAGAGAGGGGACCAGTGCTCCCAGTGCAGGCCTTCACAGAATGGAAGCTCACTATCTAGTGGACAGATGTGGAGAAAAGCCAAAGAAGTCTCAGGTAGACTGGTAGGTATGTTAGTTTGACAAAAGGACATTGCAGACCTGTCTTGAGCTGACTGGCAGTTAGGGATGAGGCCAAGGCCTCCAGGTTGCCACCAGTGGCCTCACACTCCTGTCAAAATAAAAAGAGAAGAGAGAGGAATTCAGACTTTTCTGGGGTTCTGAGATACTGGAGCCCACATGAAAATATTTCTAGATCCCCTTAGGGAAAAAATTAAACTGATAACATCATGGTAACCCATGGTGCTTATCTGCTTGTGGGTGGAGCCTTTTGGGCCATTTTTAGTGCCAGTGACTGAGGTTTCCACCACTGAATGTATTATAAGCATTGATGTTTCATCTGCTTGTGGCACAGAACATCACCACCACCTAAGGGCCTAAGAGCCACCCCTCACAGCTAAGACTTGGAGCCATAACAGTGGGGCATATCCACTCCTATTGACCATCTCAGCTACTTAAGCCCCAACGGGTAATTCAACTAAAGCAGTACTGCATGCTAAATGGACAAAAGGACATTACTTTGTTAATTCAGGACTTGCTACAGACAGAATGTTACAAACCATTCTTTCACAATGTAACAGCTCAGTTTGGTCAAAAAGGCCTATGAAAATTGACAATGAACTCTTAGAGGCTGAATGCCAAGGCCACTTGGGCAAGAAGCCAAAGAAATATCCCAGATACAGTCAAGCAAATATTGTTGGCTCTTGTGGCACCCACTAATAAAAAATAGGCCCAAAGCTGTTCAGCCTCTTTGGGTACTAGAGAGCATGTACCCCACCTGGGTGCTCTTTTGGCCCCCTTAGACAAGATAACCTGAAAAGCCACCAACTTTGAGTGGGGCCCTTTGCATCATCAAGCCTTTGAAGCTGTTCAACAAGCTGTGGCTCAGGAACTACTTTTAGAACACTTAGAGCCTGCTAACCCAATGAAATTACAGGTGTTTGTAACCTTCATGCATGTTGATTGGAGTCTCTAGCAACAGGAAACTGCCACTGGGTTATGCCAGCCTCTTGGATTTTGGATTCATAAGTTGCCTGAGGCAGCCACCAATACATACCCTTTTGAATGGTGACTCCTTGTTTGTTGAGCACTGGTGGGGACTGAGCATCTTACAGATGGGGGGTACTGCATGTGATTCTGTGACCTGAACTGCCCATTCTCTCTTGGGCTTCACAAATGCCACCAATAATGTTGGACAGGCTCAACAGAGCTCTATTATCAAATGAAAATAAGACATTTATGATCGGGTCCAGGTGGGACCCTAAGGCACAATTAGGCTACATAAACAAATGGTTAGCTTACTAGAAGGGACCAAGAAACCCACAGAGGAGCTTTGGTTCCTCCTATGGTTACCTGGAGCCCAAGACTCAGAGATGTGCCTACCGACACTATGGCATGGGGGCTCTGAGAAACAACAAGCAGATGGGTTGACTGGGGTGCAGCCACCAGCCAACCAGTGGGTAGCCATGTTTTGACTAAGACTGGACATGAATGTTCCACAGGTTGGGTCAAACTTCATGTAGTGGTGATGGCCTTGTAGACCACCCCTGCCACCACATCTTGCTACATTTTCACTGACTTATGAGCTATGGCCAACAGCTTAGCCATCCGGCCAGGAGAATGGTAACTGAGTGACTGGACTATTAAAGGATCCACTGTGTGGGGACAAGAATTGTGACAATAGCTTATTACCTAGAGGAGACGAATGAATATATGTGATTCATTTGGCCATGGAGACCATCATAGTCACCTTTGAGAGAAACTTACATCATGAATTTAGATACCTCATGGGACCTCACTGAACCAAGGAACATTCTTCACTGCCTCATCAATACGACAATGGGTGGTATTGTCATCAAATACGATGGACTTTCCATGTACTCTGTCATCGAAGGGCCAATGGAGCCATTGAATGATGGAATAACTGACCCACATGGATCCTGAAGCCAGAATATAAAGACAGCCTGCTAATGGGGTGGGACCCCCATCTGACAAGGGTAGTGTGGACACCAAACTCTGCACGCCAATGCAAGGAAAATGCAGCACCACAGTGCATGTTGGGAAATACTGAGCTTGGTAGGAGGTGAAGAACCACCTCCCAATCTCAGTGTTCCCAACTATTCCTTTTCCTTTGTCCTTTTACAGTGCATGTCCTGGGGGCTGGTTTGCAATTCAGACCATCATAGTACCGCAGACAGGGCCCCCTAACTCTAATCTAGAGATGATGCTTCCCCCAGGTGACTTCCTTTTATGAGATCCCACAGTGGTGAGGGGCAAGACCAAGGAGTATCAGGGTGCTAAGTTCCCTCTAGTGGCACGAGGGACATCTAATCCTTCCAGCAGAGTGGAAGATGACATGTCAAGTTTGTACAGGATATGACCTCCCTTCCTGGACCAGATGACTACAGTTGACAGGTTAGGGTCAAACGATTAGGGCAATGGGTTCCCGCAGAGGCAGTAGCCTCAGGACAGGACAGACAGACTGGGTCACTGCACCAACTCAGTCCAACCTCTACTATGCAATAGGTAGAGAACACCTGGGACCCCAGAAGGGGTGGGAGTGAGACTCTAACCTGTCAATCTGCTTTTTTCCACAAGGAGTAGACAGCTGAGGCCTGGAAGTATAATGCCTTCCTTCGTCTCTCCCAAGCTATGGACACCACCGGTAACCTAATGAAGTGTTGTACCTCATTCTGTCACAGACCACAGAGTCTCTTATACTCCCAGTGGTGAACTACACCAGCATTTCTAGCACCACAGCGTACACCAACAGAGCCTGACCACTGGCCTACCAAGTGAGAATCCAGTACCCCCACATGAGAGGGAGCAAGAAATGCCCTGTTTTAACTTAACTGGCCTAAGGTGGCAAAATGTCACAACCGCAAGTAACACAACCTTGATGGGCTGGTATTTTGATGCACAGTGCTCCTTTGATTACATGGATGAGAAGTGTCCCAGCAGCAACAAGGAAAGCAAGGACTGGACTGTTGCCAGCCCTCTGTCTAGGGGTTTCATGAACAATATTGGGGGTGGGGAGACTGAGTTCATGAAACTGACTTGAGACTTGCCTGGCAAACGCCAGTCCCTCCATACCCATGAATAGGTCACTGAACAATAAAATGAGGGAAGGAGTGATGTGTGCACCCGAAGGTGTGACCTAAATAGGGGATAGGCAATGTCATGCCTGGAAAGCTGGCAGATGGTGGGATCCATGTTGGGTGTGCTGGGAATACCCCTGGATATTACCTTTGGGAAGGAGGTGCACTGCTGGGCCAGCACCCTAAAGCTGTATACCAGGTGTACTAGAGGCCTGCCCGGAGGTGCAGCTTATGACTCTGAGCTTATGTCTTTTATGAGATCTTTGGTACCATACATAGGAGTCAGTGCTCAAAACAAATTGTAGTAAACCTATCCCTGACCATGGCAGATGTTGCTTCCTCCACTGCCACTGCCTTGGCAGCCCAGCAGACATCCCCAAACTCCCTTAAAAAGATTGTTTTAGACAGCAGAATTGATCTAGACCTTCTTTTAGCCTAAATGGGAGAAATATGTGCCATTGCCAACACCTCCTGCTGTCCCTGGATAGACACTGCTGGCATTGTAGAGACACAGGTGGAAGAGATCTGGAAGAGGACCCACTGGCTGCAGAGAGCAGGGCTTCCTGAAGGATCCTTCTTTTACCTCTTTATCAACTTGTTACCTGGTCACTGGGACCCTCAGGTAGGTCACTGCTCCAGGCAGGCCTTACCATCCTGTTTGTGGCAGTAGTCCTTCCATGCCCAGTGAAATACTGTCTGGCTGTGGCTAAATGATGTTGCACTGAGATTATGTCTGTCAAGGTGCTACATCAGTTTGATGAGACCAACCTCCATCTCTGGATCTGGGGATGTAGTGGGTATGTGAAATGGACCAACTTTGCTAAGGTGACTGTCTAGCTCAGGGGTGGACTGCAAGGGAGTTCTCTGGTGACTTTGGACTGACCCAGTTTTACTTCTTCTTATATTAATAGTTCTCAAGAATAACTATACAATGTGCTGGTATGCAACATCCTGAGGTAAGGAGGAACTGGCCAGAATAGCCCAGGCTCTGTTCCTGTCCCTCCTAGAACAGAATGTCCTGCAACACTTTAGCCCAGTGAGTTCCATGCCCCAGGGTATAAAACATAGGTTAGGCTGCTTTTCAGGGTCCCTTAGCTGCGGTGCAAGTGGGGCACACACATAAGACTCCATCTGTCCTGGTAAGGTTTCTCAGCCTTTGGTGACCAACTAGGCTTCTGTCACCCCTTGATGCCTATCTGTGAGTAATAAAGCTGCCTCATGTCACTTGTGTGTGAGTATTCTGTTTCACTAAACTCATGCAAGTAATAGAAATTGGTTATGATATTCTAAAT